CATCTAGACACTGGTCCATGGCGCGTCCATGTGCCCATTCCTCTCCACTGTCCTATTTGTATGACGAAAGTACAAGAGAGAGAGAGAGAGAGTGAGAGAGAGAGAGAGAGAGAGAGAGAGAGAGAGAGAGAGAGGAGAGAGAGAGAGAGAGAGGAGAGAGAGAGGAGAGAGAGAGAGAAGAGAGAGAGAGAGAGAGAGAGAGAGAGAGAGAGAGAGAGAGAGAGAGAGAGAGAGAGAAGAGAGAGAGAGAGAGAGAGAGAGAGAGAGAGAGAGAGAGAGAGAGAGAGAGAGAGAGAGAGAGAGAGAGAGAGAGAAAAGAGGAAAAAAGAGAGCGATTAGAGTTAAGATAGCGAAGCGTTTTAAGTTAGTTGGCTGACTATTTTTCGTGCATTTATTTGATTCGCATTGCTGTGGTGCAGTGGTCTCACCCTTATTTGAAATCTAAAGAAGTGTCTTACACTAAGAGTGTGTTTTTTATTCATTGGCGGGCTTCAGTCTTCGAGAATTAAGTGGTTTATGTTCAAATAAAACTGTTGGTTTTCTGTGACCTGATGGCGGGTTTAGCCGGGGTGCTGCATTCCCATAACCATCCGCTCGGTAGTCGCGTTATTCTTGATTATTCGATTACAAGTTTTATCTCCTTGATAACTACGAATATTGTGCAACCTTTTGTAACATGTTGAGTGAGAAGTAATTCGTCTTAAAAAGCTACATGCCATAAACATAGCTGGTTGATAACACATTGACAGCTGTGATGTCTGGAAACAAATGTTTTTAACTACTTTTTAGCATATTTAATCCTGTATCACATGACAATTGTAAGTACTGCCACTGTTTTTTGCCACGCAAACTCCCTCATACGTTACGTTATTCTGGAAACATAAGCAAATTTTCAGAGATACCTAGCATCTATATCAGGACAAAAATGGGCTGCAATATGCGGTGGATGGTATAATTATAAGGCTACCGCTTTTAAGACACACGGTTTTCATCCCTCGCCCCCATTCAAAGTTTTTCGTAACGCAGACTCGTGGAGCGAGTCGGTGCGACCACCCAGCTGTTTCCAAACTCATGAATAGATCTTAGTGGCAATCACCTGCAGATTGGTCGCTTGAAACCTCGCTATTGTAAATCAGCGTCATATTTCTAGGTCAATATTTGCCTCAATTATGTCAGGTCGGAGGAACAGTTTCCTGCAAATTGCAGCTTTTCAGCTTCACAACCTCCTACATGGCTGTGACGGTGTCAGGCACGCAGCATATGTGGCCATATATGTGGCTTATAGCGACACAAAATCTGCACAGGTGTGCTTCTCGTTTAAGCCTGCATTTAATCGTATATAGTTTTAACTGTTTTGTGCATTTATACATGATATATGGCTCAGTTATATGGCGTGTTTTGTGTCTTTATAGCGTTTTGAACGGAAATAGCCATCTCTAAGATTATTCAGTGCAATTTACAGCCCTGTCCTTCTTCAGGCCTCACAACCTGTAGTTTCTAAGCTATGCGTCCTCGAAGATGTGCGGACGTCTTCATGCAATACTATACCAAGGTCACCTAGGCATCCATGATGTCATATTAATGTCATTCAAATCCTGATATTCCTTTAGCCATGCGGCGATCAAGGCAAAAATGTTTAGCTGTCTAGTCATTCATATCTGGTGTTTGTGAACACGGTTTCATGATGTATCGGTCATCACTTGGCTCTCAACCTATCAATCTATGCAATCAAGTAATGAGGCAGTGATGAGCATATGTACTACATGCAGAGATAGCTTTGTACCGAGCATTCTTTTCGGTTTACAAGTATATCAATAGGCAAGTGAGCTTGTTGAATCCTGTCGATGCTTGCTTCAACATCTTCAAATGTGGAAAAATGCCTTCAAAAGGAAGTGTTCCACATCTCTATGGGGTTTTGAACTGAAATAGTCATCTCGAAGAGCAATCGGTGCAGTCCACATCCCGCAATTTTTAAGGCCTAAGCCCCTGTAGTTTCTAAGCTACACGTCCGCCATAATGCGCGTGCAGGTTATTTCAAGGTCACCTAGGCGTTCATGGCGCCATAACGTCATTTACACCTTGTCATTCCGTTGGTCATGCCACGATCATGGCAAAATATGGCGCTGCTGAGCACGATTCCCAGATACAACCTGCCGTCAGTTGGTTTCAATCAATGTCTGGCAAGTTACGATGACGCAATTAAAATGAGAACACATGAAGGAGTATATCTACCAAATGCAGAAATGGTATTGCCCAGAGCAGTCTTTTCCATTAAAATGCGTACCAATATCTTTATGTGAGCTTATTTCATCATACCTGATGCTTGCTGAATGCTCTTCAAACGTGGGACAATTCCTTTCATATCACAATATCAGCCCGCCGCAGTTTCCGCGTTTCCCGTGGGCTTCCCGCCATGGCCGTAGATCGTGGTGAAGTGTTCCTCAAAAACTGCCGCTGCTTTGAAACCGGAAAGCTAAGAACACGTTGCTCCTGCAAAAAACAGCAATGGATGTTCCATTCACCCCCCGTCCCATGGCAAGGGGTGGGAGTCAACGATCATGAGGTCGGTTTGCTATTTTCCACCGACATCACATCTCCAAAATGCCACTCTTGCACAACAAGCATTCCGGTTATTCAGACTCTCACGTCATGGCGCCCAGTGCGAGGTTCTAAGCTGCAAACTGCCCGAAATGCAGGACGCTCAGCTAAAATGTTTCGGTCACGCGTAACGAGCATAGACAGAACAAAAACTTGCCAGTCAGCCTCAGCGGTCAACACAAAGACTAGAGGACTACTTTGAATGGACGTAACGTAAACAGGGTTGATCAATTGAAGTCCCAAAACGACGTTGATGTTCCGCAGCGAAAAAATATTACGCATTTAGCGCGATATAAGTATCCATGGATCCGCGTTTTCGTTTGCTGTTGCTGAAATTTCCCCATTCGAGCTGGTGTTTTACCGCCGTGATCCATTGCTGCTAGCGTGATACAGGGTGCTCACCTTGTAGTGGGAACGTAGTAGCATTAACACCCCCTCGGGCTAGCGGTCAATTTGACCCCCCCCCCGAAGATTTTTTCCGGAACAGTTTCCGATCGGAAGTCAGTTTCTAAGGAATCGTTCAATCTGATGAGACAACGGAGTGTTAGACAAGGTCAAACATCTGTGATGCGCTTAGGTAGGGGTCATACTTTCTTAGGCAACACAATGATTGAAGTAGCAAATTCCATTGACCTAGGGTAAGGTATGAAGACCAGACCAAGGTCAAAACCAACCTGCTTTATTGCTCTAGGGATTGCTGCATCGGGTAGTTTTTTGGTGCTCATTTCGAGCTTATTGGTCACAGGGACCTCTTTACGCAACTCCCATAGATCTGTATGTTCTATATATATATATATATATATATATATATATATATATATATATGGATATGTATATATATATATATATGTATATATATATATATGTATGTATATATATGTATGTATATATATATATATATATACATATATATATATGATAGTCTTCTGAGCTAAAATTACGTAGGACAGCATTTTGTTTTCAGAAACGTACTGTCTAGCGTACTTTTTGTCGCTCGTTCAATTTCAAAACAAACCAGTCTTGTATGATTTGGTCACCTTGATCTTTGAAGGTTCACACAAGATCGCCGACCTTGAATAAACTTTTGACCTTTTGTTGAGAAGATGCATCTGGGTTTGGGTGTACTTTGGAGATCAACCTGGAGTTAAACTTTCTTTGACCTTATTTGACCCGAAGGTCAGGACCTAAAAATTTCAAACTTTGACCTAAGTGGGTTCTAGTACAGGCTAACACACCCTGTAAGTTTTGTGTATGTAGCTGTTATAGTCCCTGAGGTCTCTGTGGTGTTTTGGTGACACACGGCTGGGGTTGTCAAACTGATTCCCCACCCGAGCGAACGGTATCCATCCAACCGGCCACCCGGGCGCATGCAACAGTGTAAATTGCATCCAGTGCAAACGGAGAGTGGGAAATAAGACACGACGACACGAAGGTACGCACGACTAGCGCGCACGTTCTCCGAAGACGTGCGTCTCGAAGGTGCTCATCAAATTAGTTACGAACGCTTTGCTTTGATTATCCGACATAATATATCCCTCGACAGGGGTTGCAAGAGAATGTTTTTGCTGTCACGACCTTTCCGGCCAACGCACTTTGACTGACGAGGATTAGACATTTTACTTTATCCTACTATTAGATGCCACACGTAGCTTTTCTATACAAGCACTTTCCCGCAAGCCACGCTGCCCATTCCCTATGGATAAATTTACTGTTTTAACTTTTACATATCTGCACTTGAAAAACCTGTGGACCAAAGACGGAGACAAAACAATACTTGTCGGTTGTCAGGTCGTCCCGCAGCGTCGTGACCTTTTGACTAGGAGTTTAAAAAGGGTAGTCCCACACCCCAAATTTGAGAATGCCGCAATATGTCCTGGGAGAAAATCTTTTGTTGACGAATTTTGTGGTAAGTTTCGTCCTTTTTGCTATTGATACCCTTCACCTTTACTCATGTCGCAGCTGCACACATTTGGATGACGACATTGATCAGTGACCTGACATGACCCAAGCGTATTTTCTTTTGCAAAACGGATGCAATGAACGTATTATTACTGACTGAGATTTTACGGTACTGACCTTGTGTTCTTATTTCGCGCAAATAACGTTATTTTACAAGTGGCACGTAGCCCGTAGCCTGTAGAGCCTAAAACACGAATCAGATAATCAACAGTGCACCGAAGCCAAGGCGTGCCACACACCTACGTAAAGTTGCCCTGAAACGATCGAACACTGTTCTTCCTTTTGTTACAAGAGAGTTGGTAAAACTCTTTGTCCCATGCCGTGACGCGCGCTGCCCGTCTTCTCTCATTTCCAACACCGGGGTCACAGTTCAACCAATGACAACCGCTCAGGCCCCAAACATAAATTCAACTATGCGGCCTCACGGTCAAACCTATAAAACGCCGAGTCAGAGACACCCGGGTACCAGTCGCGAAACACGCATACTGCGGATCCCACCATGAAGTTTGTGAGTACGCTGCTGTATCGCATTGGTCGCGAATTTAGTCACCATAGCTCTTCATATTCAGATGTGTCTAGCTGCGCAGTGAAATCATGTGTGCGTTAAGTCGTGACTTGTGCTGTATCTGCACAATGCGTGCCACAGGTGACGATACGGTGACAAAACATGTCACCCCCTTCACAGGTCGTTCTCGCCGCCGTGATGGCCGTGGTCGCCGCCCGTCCCCAGGACGCCCCGGAGGTGGCCATCGTCCGCATGGACAGCACCCAGGGCGAGGACGGCTCGTTCCAGTATGCCTACGAGACGAGCGACGGCACCAACGCAGAGGTCACCGGCGAGTCGAAGCAGATCGGCGAAGAGGTCGGCACTGTGATGCGTGGCTCCTACAGCTTCGTCGGTGACGACGGCGTCACCTACACCGTCAACTGGGTGGCCGACGAGAACGGCTTCCAGGCTCAGGGCGATCACCTGCCGGTGGCTCCGACTGCCTAGATCACCTCTTGACCTGTGTGAACTGTTGACCAGCGCGGAATGGAGCACTTTACTGTTCTGCCTCTTTGCGCTACGGCTCTTGTGTAAATATGCCGCACAGTGTGGTACTGAATCATCCCCATACTTTCATTGTCGTGTCTGTGAATGACACTGGCGGTATACGTTTTTGTTCCTTGCGACATCACTGGAAAATACACAACCATGAGAAAGAGTGAATTTGTGTTGTCCTGCCTTATGATAGCACTGGGAGCAACAGCAAAAACGACAAGTTTTTATTTCATGAAAAAGGGATCATCCAGACACTGGTCCATGGTGCGTCCATGTGCCCATTCCTCTCCACTGTCCTATTCGTATGACGAAAGTACAAGAGAGAGCGAGAGAGAGAGAAGAGAGAGAGAGAGAGGAGAGAGAGGAAAGAAAGAGGAGTGAGAGAAGAGAGAGAGAGAGAGAGAGAGGAGAGAGAGAGAGAGAGAGAGAGAGGAGAGAGATGGAGAGAGAGATGAGAGAGAGGAGGAGAGAGAGAGAGAGAGAGAGAGAGAGATGGTGGAGAGGAGAGAGAGAGAGATGAGAGAGAGAAGAGAGAGAGAGAGCGAAAGCGTTAAGTGAGTTGGCTGACTATTTGTCGTGCATTTATTTGATTCGCATTGCTGTGGTGCAGTGGTCTCACCCTTATTTGAAATCTAAAGAAGTGTCTTACACTGAGAGTGTGTTTTTTTATTCATTGGCGGGCTTCAGTCTTCGATAATTAAGTGGTTTATGTTCAAATAAAACTGTGGGTTTTCTGTGGTCTGATGGCGGGTTTAGCCAGGGTGCTGAGTTCCCATAACCATCCGCTCGGTAGTCGCGTTATTCTTGATTATTCGATTACAGGTTTTATCTCCTTGAGAACTACGAATATTGTGCAACTTTTTGTAACATGTTGAGTGAGAAGTAATTCGTCTTAAAAAGCTACATGCCATAAACATAACTGGTTGACAGCACATTGACAGCTGTGATGTCTGGAAACAAATGTTTTTTTTAACTACTTTTAAGCACATTTAATCCTGTATCACATCACAACTGTAAGTACTGCCACTGTTTCTGCCATGCAGCCTCCTTCATACGTTAGGCTATTCTGGAAACATAGGCAATCTTTCAGAGATACTTAGCATCTATAGCAGGACAAAAATAGGCTGCAACATGCCGTGGATGGCATAATTATAAGATTACCGTTTCTAAGACATACGGTTTTCAACTCTCGCCTCGATTCCAAGTTTTTCGTAACGCGGACTCGTAGAGCGAGTCGTTGCGATCACCCAGCTGTTTCCAAACTCATGAATAGATGTTAATGGCAATCACCAGCAGATTGGTCACTTGAAACCTCGCTATGGTAAGCCAGTTTCATATTTCTAGGTCAATAATTGCCTCAATTATGTCAGGTCGGAGGAACAGTTTCCTGAATATTGCAGGTTTTTAGCTTCACAACCTCCTACATGGCTGTGACGGTGACAGTCACGCAGCATATGTGGCCATATATGTGGCTTATAGCGACACAAAATCTGTACAGGTGTGCTTCTCGTTTAAGCCTGCATTTAATCGTATATAGTTTTAACTGTGTTGTGCATTTGCATATAATACATGGCTCAGTTATATGGCGTGTTTTGCGTCTTTATAGCGTTTTGAACAGAAATGGCCATCTCTAAGATTATTCAGTGCAATTTACAGCCCTGTCCTTCTTCAGGCCTCACAACCTGTAATTTCTAAGCTATGCGCCCTCGAAGATGTGCGGACGTCTTCATGCAATACTATACCAAGGTCACCTAGGCATCCATGACGTCATATTAATGTCATTCAAATCCTGATATTCCATTAGTCATGCGGCGATCAAGGCAAAAAATGTTTAGCTGTCGAGTCATTCATATCTGGTGTTTGTGAACACGGTTTCATTATGTATCGGTTATCACTTGGCTCTCAACCTATCAATCTATGCATTCAAGTAATGAGGCAGTGATGAGCATACGTACTACATGCAGAGATAGTTTTGTACCGAGCATTCTTTTCGATTCACAAGTATATCAATAGACAAGCAAGCTTGTTGAATGCTGTCGATGCTTGCTTCAACATCTTCAAATGTGGAAAAATGCCTTCAAAAGGAAGTGTTCCACATTTCTATGGGGTTTTGAACTGAAATAGTCATCTCGAAGAGCAATCGGTGCAGTCCACATCCCGCAATTTTTAAGGCCTAAGCCCCTGTAGTTTCTAAGCTACACGTCCGCCATAATGCGCGTGCAGGTTATTTCAAGGTCACCTAGGCGTTCATGGCGCCAAAACGTCATTTACACCTTGTCATTCCGTTGGTCATGCCACGATCATGGCAAAATATGGCGCTGATGAGCACAATTCCCAGATAGAACCTGCCGTCAGTTGGTTTCAATCAATGTCTGGCAAGTTACGATGACGCAATTAAAATGAGAACACATGAAGGAGTATATCTACCAAATGCAGAAATGGTATTGCCCCGAGCAGTCTTTTCCATTAAAATGCATACCAATATATTTATGTGAGCTTATTTCATCATACCTGATGCTTGCTGAATGATCTTCAAACGTGGGACATTTCCTTTCATATCACAATATCAGCCCGCCGTAGTTTCCGCGTTTCCCGTGGGCTTCCCGCCATGGCCGTAGATCGTCGTGTAGTGTTCCCCAAAAACTGCCGCTGCTCTGAAACCGGAAAGCTAAGAACACGTTGCTCCTGCAAAAAACAAACAAACAAGCAATGGATGTTCCTTCCACCCCCCGTCCCATGGCAAGGTGTGGGAGTCAACGATCATTAGGTCGGTTTGCTATTTTCCACCGACATCACATCTCCAAAATGCCACTCCTGCGTAACAAGCATTCCGGTTATTCAGACTCTCACGTCATGGCGCCCAGTGCGAGGTTCTAAGCTGCAAACTGCCCGAAATGCAGGACGCTCAGCTAAAATGTTTCGGTCACGCGCAACGAGCATAGACAGAACAAAAACTTGCCTGTCAGCTTCAGCGGTCAACACAAAGACTAGAACACTACTTTGAATGGACGTAACGTAAACAGGGTTGATCAATTGAAGTCCCAAAACGACGTTGATGTTCCGCAGCGAAAAAAATATTACGCATTTAGCGCGATATAAGTATCCCTGGATCCGCGTTTTCGTTTGCTGTTGCTGAAATTTCCCCATTCGAGCTGGTGTTTTACCGCCGTGATCCACTGCTGCTAGCGTGATACAGGGTGCTCACCTTGTAGTGGAAACGTAGTAGCATTAACACCCCCTCGGGTAGCGGTCAATTTGACTCCCCCCCGAAGATTTTTTCCGGAACAGTTTCCGATCGGAGGTCAGTTTCTAAGGAATCGTTCAATCTGATGAAACAACGGAGTGTTAGACAAGGTCAAACATCTGTGATGCGCTTAGGTAGGGGTCATACTTTCTTAGGCAACACAATGATTGAAGTAGCAAATTCCATTGACCTAGGGTAAGGTATGAAGACCAGATCAAGGTCAAAACCAACCTGCTTTATTGCTCTAGGGATTGCTGCATCGGGTAGTTTTTTGGTGCTCATTTCGAGCTTATTGGTCACAGGGACCTCTTTACGCAACTCCCATAGATCTGTATGTTATATATATATATATATATATATATATATATATATATATACACATATATATATATATATATATATATATATATATATATATATATATATATATGTACATATATATTATAGTCTTCTGAGCTAAAACTACGTAGGACAGCATTTTGTTTTCAGAAACGTACTGTCTAGCGTACTTTTTGTCGCTTGTTCAATTTCAAAATAAATCAGTTTTGTATGATTTGGTCACCTTGATCTTTGAAGGGTCACACAAGATCGCCGACCTTGAATAAACTTGTGACCTTTTGTTGAGAAGACGCATCTGGGTTTGGGTGTACTTTGGAGATTAACCTGGAGTTAAACTTTCTTTGACCTTATTTGACCCGAAGGTCAGGACCTAAAAATTTCAAACTTTGACCTAAGTGGGTTCTAGCACAGGCTAACACGCCCTGTAAGTTTTGTGTATGTAGCTGTCATAGTCCCTGAGGTCTCTGTGGTGTTTTGGTGACACACGGCTGGGGTTGTCAAACTGATTCCCCACCCGAGCGAACGGTATCCATCCAACCGGCCACCCGGGCGCGTGCAACAGTGTAAATTGCATGCAATGCAAGCGGAGAGTGGGAAATAAGACACGACGACACGAAGGTACGCACGATTAGCGCGCACGTTCTCCGAAGACGTGCGTCTCGAAGGTGGTCATCAAATTAGTCACGAACGCTTTGCTTTGATTATCCAACATGATATATCCCTCGACAGGGGTTGCAAGAGAATGTTTTTGCTGTCACGACCTTTGCTGCCAACGCACTTTGGCTGACGAGGATTAGACTTTGTACTTTATCCTACTATTAGATGCCACACGTAGCTTTTCTATACATGCACGTTCCCGCAAGCCATGCTGCCCATTCCCTATGTATAAATTTGCTGTATTAACTTTTACATCTCTGCGCTTGAAAAACATGTGGACCAAAGACGGAGACAATACAATGCTTGTCGGTTATCAGGTCGTCCCGCAGCGTCGTGACCTTTTGACTAGGAGTTTAAAAAGGGTAGTCCCACACCCCAAATTTGAGAATGCCGCAATATGTCCCGGGAGAAAAAGCTTTTGTTGACGAATTTTGTGGTAAGTTTCGTCCTTTTTGCTATTGATACCCTTCACCTTTACTCATGTCGCAGCTGCACACATTTGGATGACGACATTGATCAGTGACCTGACATGACCCAAGCGTATTTTCTTTTGCAAAACGGATGCAATAAACGTATTATTACTGACTGAGATCTTACGGTACTGACCTTGTGTTCTTATTTCGCGCAAATAACGTTATTTTACAAGTGGCATGTAGCCCGTAGCCTGTAGAGCGTAAAACACGTATCAGATAATCAACAGTGCACCGAAGCCAAGGCGTGCCACACACCTACGTAAAGTTGCCCTGAAACGATCGAACACTGTTCTTCCTTTTGTTACAAGAGAGTTGGTAAAACTCTTTGTCCCTTGCCGTGACGCGCGCTGCCCGTCTTCTCTCGTTTCCAACACCGGGGTCACAGTTCAACCAATCACAAGCGCCCAGGTCCCAAACATAAATTCAATTATGCGGCCTCACGGTCAAACGTA